TGACTGACAATAATGCTGACAATGAATGTTAGATAAACATGCATTGTTTGCAACTGGAAGCTTATCACCCGTTATATCAGAATCGTCAACAACAGAGTATACAGATAAGATGTTATTTAAACCCTTTCAAAGATAAACAATATGCAAACGGCAGTTGTAGTCTTTTCTGCTAGCGTTTTAAAACACTGATTTGAGCGACGTTATTTCGCAATTTCGATCTTTTGTAAACCTGGGATGATGTATCAAGGTCTAAAGTGAACGTTTTATCAATTTTTGAAAAATCAAGAAAAAAGTGAAAATTTCCCTTCTCGCTACCTTAATTATACTGATCAAAACCTGACTCGCTGCAGTAAACTATTTATTGCCTGCACTACATTAAATTCCATATTCTATTTTGTTTTGGGCACATTCTAAATACAACTAACCTAAAAATTCAAAAGGGAGGGACCTCAGGGCTATACAGGAAATTACTTATGTCAAATATTAATTGAGTAATATAGTCCATTTTTGATCGTCAAACAGAAAAACCTGAGCGAGATTCAGTTGGCTTGATGACACCGGTCATTCTGATAACTCAGTCACAACCAAAGCCACATAACTACGGTACAGATTGGCTTTTGCAAAGTTGATATCTTGCGAATCTTGTACAAATAATTACTCCACATGTCTAAGGTTTTGAATAATTTTGCCTTGATCCCTAAAAACCCACACATTACATGTACATTAATATCTAAAGCATATAAACATTGAATTGTGAAACATTTTCATTTTTGGCTAGCAGCATTTCAACATTTGTTTATTTAAATTAAAAATGTTCATGCCTGTTTGAAAATGATCTTCAGAAAAATGTATGTGCACCACACCTATTTTTTAAACATCCAACAAGTTTATTTTTGGTATCTAGAAAAAATAATACAGGACTTCTAAAATAATATAACATTGCTTCCACCATACACCATTGGGTAGAGTGCAACAAATGTTGTTTCAGCTACAAAAATGCATAGATTATTTCTTGTTATTATTGTTATTATTTTTTTTCTAAAATATTTCTATATTTAGTAAATTATTTGTTTAAAATGCAACAAACTATTAATTACGAATTGTATCTTAATTTCAAAATTAGTGTGGCAGAGTAGCAATTTTTTGAAGAAAAAAAAATTGTCTTAAAAAAAAATCTTTCCAATCGGGCAAGATGCGCGTTTTTATATCTATAAACTATTTCTTAATCTCCCTGTAGAGTTTTTTGTTTTTAATTTTTCTCTGCGAAGATTTGTTATCCAGATTGTCATTCCAAATTCACCCCCCCCCCCGAATTCATAATGGTCAGTCCCGTACTAGGGCGCATTACGTTACCTGTAAAAACTTCATGCCAACCAGTTTAAATCCTTTTAATTCAAACCTCTTGATAACTTCTCCGATTATACCACGCTGGACACCATCAGGCTTGACCATAATGAACGTACGTTCGGCATTACCTCTGCTTTTATCGGCCATGACTCGAAGGAATTCTGCGATCACAGACAAAAGGGTACACACCATGTGCTGTCAGACAGGAAAAAGAAAGGGCACCGGTTATGCATGCACGTATATTGTCACGTGGCAAATTTACACCGACGTCACGCCGGAAATAAATGAAAAAAATATCGTGCGTTATTAAACAGCGAAAATTTTCAGCTACGACCACCCTGAAACGGAAATTCGGTGAAATATGTGTCAGCACTTGCCTTGCCTCAGATGAACTCAACCTACGAGAAAGTGTGATGTGAACGGGACGGGTCACGTTCAGTGTCACGTGACCTACCCGGCGTTTGAAGATTTTATGAGAAATTTCAACAAAGTTTAAAATAAAATTTGAAAAATATGATTCAATTTAATTATTTTTTCATGGTTATGAGATACTGCAACATTAATTGATAAAGAAAATATTTCGAGAATTCACGTTGTGACACGAGATTTCGCGACATAATTTTAACCCGGAAGAACATCCTCAAAGGTCAATACGATATTGGCACATGTGTGTTCCATGTTTTGGTGTATGTTTAGCATTTGGGGAGACAGACTGTAAATCAGTATCCATTCTTACACTACATCACTATGTTGCGACAGCGAATCAAGAGGTCACTTGATGAGCAAGTGGAAAACACAGAAAGAGACGATGCGAAGAATAGAAAGACTGCGACTCGTCAACAAAAGTTTCTTACGCTTGGTTCTGACAACAAACAAGAAGAGGAGGAAATGTTGGAGAAATTAGTGTTTGGTGGGGAGCACCTTATTATTGAACAGTTTGAAAAAGAAAGCTCAAAGTCAAAAACGACCAAAGAGGTATATTTCGATTATTTTCCTTTACTATACCATCAATTATATTAAATAATTTACTAACATATTTGGATCATATCGAATGGGCTGGGCTCTTGTGTGAACCAGAAAAACCAATAATCTATGAATAAATGAATAATATTTCCATGCAACATAACTTAAACCCTAACATTCCAATCCTACACTGTAATTGTAGATGCCCCTCCAGACATGTTCTGAAGCGAGGCTTATTAATTCAAATGGGGAAGGTGCACTGGAGGGGTAATGCTAGTATTAAAGTTATGCGTTAAGGGTACTAAGAAACTCAGATTATATGGTTCTCCATGTTTAGAAGTAGGCCCAAAAATGAATAACATACAAAAGGGGTAAACCTTTCTATCAAAAATAAAAATAATAGATGCAGTGCATACATGAAATAAAAAAAATTGTTTGGAATTGTGCAAATAACATCAAAAAATAGTTTTACATGAACCAACTACACTGCTAACAAAAAATACAAATAAACCTTGCAACACCACTTGATATATCTGTAATTTTTTTTGGGGGGGGGGCTCTTATTAGCTAAATGAGTACAAGCATAAATAAATTACTGTAAAATATTTTATTTTAGCTGGAATTAATTTTCGCTGAAAAGCCTTTTTGGGTGATATTCATGGATTTTATTTTCACTGATTTTTGATGAGTTGAATGTAAAATATAGGAAAAAAGGTATATAACAATGTCATAATTTAACATCCCCGTAATGTTTTTAGGATAATTCAGAAGAGCGCTCGCAAGGAATTCTGGACAAAAAAATTAAACCAGCGTGGATTGATGAGGATGATGAACAAGTAGTGATAGACTTCACTCAAAGAAAACATCAATATCTAAAAAAGCCAAATGATAGTGTTTTGACAGGTGATATTTTACAAGAAAGGCTCCGATCCAAGTAAGTAGCTTTAATTTTGTATTTCAAATAATAAAATTGATGCTGTAATAGTCATGACGATGTTAGTTCATTCTGCTATATACATGTAAGAGCATGTTTCAAATGATATTTCCATAATATCAGTACATAATTGTGTACATGTATGGATTGCATTCTGGTTGGAGAATTGGTTCAACATACAATGATGAACAAATAGAGAGCTCCCCTTGTTGCCTTGTTGGTCTGATTTAACCCTAAAAACTATGGTAGGCGTGTACAAAATAGGCAAGGTC